GCCCCCCCTCCCCCCCCAGGTTAAGATATTTTTCAATGAAGATATTTTCTTTACAGAAAGAAATTTCAGAGCTTCCAAGATCATAAACTTAAAATAAGTAAAGAAGATAATAAAATTCTTAAAAAGGCTCGGAAAGATGGGTTTTTGCATGAGACACTTCTGGACAGGTAAATATATATTTACATAATACCAACTGTTTTGGGCAATACAAACAACTAAAATCATGTGTAAATCTGTGTTCTGCCGGTCCAGGTGGCTCACACCTGTAATCCTAGCTAATCAGGAGGCTAAGATCCGAGGATCATGATTCTAAGCCAGCCTGGGCAGGAGAGTCCGTGAGACTCGAATCTCCAGTAAACCACCAGAAAACCAGAAGTGCCGCTGTGGCTCAAGTGGTAGAGCGCTAGCCTTGAGCTGAAGAGCTGAGGGACAGTGCCCAGGCCCAGATATCAAAACCCATGACCAACAACAACAACAAACAAACAAAAAAAAACTGTGTTCTTATTATGTGTGTTCACACTGGGGCTTGAACTCAGGACCTGATTGCTGTTCTTTGCTTTTTTTGCTTAAGGCTAGCACTCTTTCACCTGAACCACAGATCTACTTTAGCTTTTTGGTGGTTAGTTGGAGATAAGAGTCTCTTGGACTTACCTGCCTAGGCTGGCTTTGAACCTCCAACCTCAGATCTCAGCCACCTGAGTAGTTAGGATTACAGATTAAAAACCACTGCCACCCAGCTCTTGTGTCTGTCTGTCTTTCTTTCTCTCTCTCTTTCTTATCCTGGGGCTTGAATCTGGCCCTGGGCACTATCCCTGAGTTTTTATGCTCAAAACTACCATTCTACCACTCAGCTTTTTGTGGCTAATTGGAGACAAGAGAGACAAGGAACTTCCTGCCCTATCTGGCTTCAAACCTTGATCCTCATATCTTAGCCTTCCAAGTAGCTAGAATTCCAGGTGTAAGCCACTGGTGCCCAGCCTCTGTAGTATTTAGTATTACTGTAGTATTTAGATTTTTGTCTTCACTTCTGTTGTATTTGTGTGGTAATATTACCTAGAAAAGACCTAACTTTTCAGCTTGGAGCTGGGGGGTGGGAGGAAGCTGGAGAAAATGAGGGAGGAGGTAACATTGTTCAAAAAGAAATATACTGCTGGGCGCTGGTGGCTCATGCCTGTAATCCTAGCTACTCAGGAGGCTCAGATCTGAGGATCGAGTCAAAGCCAGCCCCAGCCCAGGCAGGAAAGTTAGTGAGACTCTCTTTCTCCAGTTAACCACCAGTAAATGGGAAGTGAGCTAAAGATAGTTCAGGGACAGCACCTAGGCCTAGAGTTCAAGCCCCACAACTGACCAAAAAAAAAAAAAATTATATTGGCTTACCATTATCTTTGTATGACAGTTACCAGATTAGAAAGTTGTTCAAATGTGTATCCCTTTGAAGTATTAAAAATTCAAAAAATGACATTAAAATATACATTGATTTTTAAGTAGATTAAGTTAAAAAAATAATGAAATTTTGGGCATTTTAAGTTTAATAAAATGTTTAACTGGTAATGTAATAATCAAACGAAAACATAATTTCTAAATATGTTTCTTATTTTGTAGCAGATGACTATGTATGGTATATTCTAAATTAATTAATTTTTATTTGTCTTAAATAGGAGAGCCAAATTGAAAGCTGATAGATACTGCAAATGAAGAGGATATTTGTTTTTTTTCTCCCTTTGGTTTTTTTTTTTTTTCTGAATAAAGTATTTGGTGGATCTCCTTTTACAGAGTTCTTGGGTTAATGTGGAATTATTGCTTAAATCAAGATTTATCAGGATTCTTTATGGATTCATTTTTCTTTTTTTGATTACCTATTGTGGAAGGTCTCATCAGAAACTGATGATTCTAGTACAACTCCTAGATTTTATCTTGTTGCTCAGTAGTCTCTGTTCACTCAACACAATCCATGGTATATTTAGAGGGAAGTTAGAAACTCTTCAGTCAAACAATCAACAAAGCTTTGATTGTCCCTCTTAGTTTTGTTTGCACTGAGGATGGAACCCAGGATTTGCTCTTGTTAGATAAGCACCCTATTACTAAGTTATACCACCCATCCTCCCTCTTAAATAGTGCCTAAATCACAGACAATTCAAATAACTCTTAAGAATATGGGGGCTAACCAGGCACCAGTGGCTGTAATCCTAGCTATTCAGGAGGCTGAGATCTGAGGATTGTGGTTCTAAGCCAGCCCTGGCAGGAAAAGTCTGTGAGACTCTTATCTCCAATAAGTGGCTCTGTGGCTCAAGTGGTAGAGTGTCACCTTGAGCTGAAGAGCTCAGGGAGAGCACCCAGGGCTAGAGTTTAAGCCCCACAGCCGACAAAAAATAAAAATATGGGGGCTATATAGGAACAGTCATCTTCTAGGCAGTGAGATGAAAAGGAAAGACTATGAAAGAGCAAATAGGCTCAACAGAAGTGGAAGAGTAATATTAGGGGAGTTCATTAATTAGGACAGTTTAGTCAAATTGGATATGTATGTGATTCATCCTCATGTGTGGGATGGGAACTACCAAATAAATTCAGACACTAAGCATTTTCTGAGGCCTGTCTTTCTGAGTTCCTAAATGTGGTATTCAGGATGCTATCTGATTGTAGAGAATGTTCTAAATGTAGGTTATCAGATGTCTGGATTTCATCATAGGAAGTTGTGATTCAGGGCTGAAGTTCGTTCTGACATCTGAATACTTCTGAAAGTTCACGCTGAATGCATGGCACGACTAAGATTAAGTGTATACTGCGGATTGGGGCTGGGAAGGTGGCTCCGTGGTAGAGCGCTTGCCTTGCATGCCTGAGGCCCTGGGTTCAATTCCTCAGCACCACATAAGCAAAAAGAAAAAAAAGCCGGAAGTGGCACTGTGGCTCAAGTGGCAGAGCGCTAGCCTTGAGCTGAAAAGCTGAGGGACAGCACCCAAGCCCAGAGTTCAGGCCCCACAACCAGACCCACAAAAAAAAAAAAAGGTGTATACTGCCGATTCTACCCTTTATATTCCATTTGTCACCAAATTAGGGTTATTACTAGGAGCTCTTGCTAGAGGTCTAGCCTTAGCATTCCTATTTCTCCATGACCAGAATGTATTCTCCAGCTTCTGATCCTTAGGCTGGGAATGTGCTTATACTAGAATCCTCAAATCAATGGTGCTGATTCTAAGTTCAGGCTATTTTGCTTGCTAGGGGATGTGGGAGACATTTTTCTTTGAAACAAGAGACAGTGGAAGAGTCTACAGATGCTGCTAAATATTCTGCCCACACCAGACAGCCCCTCTACAATAAGAAATTGTCCAATGATAATATGCCAACAGTTGCGATGATATGAAAATTGCTAAAGGGACCTTGATTAGTCCTTCCTTTTGCTAGCTCCTGAAGCTGCAACTTGAACAATAGTTCAAATTTCTATTGGTTAAAATCACTTAGGACACCTGTCTGTTTCAATTACTGATTTATAAGAACTATCATTAGATATTCGGACTTAGCTAGTATAGGATGGGGCCCCAAACCTGCACTGTGTGCATGTGTGCATGCCAGTCCTAAACTTAGGGCCTGGGTGTTGCCCCTGAGCTTTTGCTCAAGGCTAGTTACTCTACCACTTGAGCTACAGAGCCACTTTGCCTTTTTCTGTGATTAAATGGGAAATAAGAGTCTCACAGACTGTCTTGCCTAGGCTGGCTTTGAACCATGATCCTCAGATCTCAGCCTTCTGAGAAGCTTAGATTACAGGCGTGAGCCACTAGTATTTTAACAGATATTCCAGGTAGTTCAGAAAAGCAAGCAACATGACCACTCTTTGCCAAAGACTGCCCTTAGGCATCTTTATGCCAAACATTATTTTGATAACTAACCTGCCTGCCTACTGAGTGATTTCCCTTCTGCCTCCATTCCTGTATATTTTTGGGCCTTTATCACCTCAGCCTCAAATTCCCTTACTTCCTGCCTTTATTTCAGTGGATGGCATAAATTACATGTCCTGACAAGGAGATACAGAATGAAAATATGCATTGTCTCCCCTTAGTAAGTTAATATACTCATGAAGGAAGACAACAGATTTAACAAGTACTCCACTGGTTGTCATGGCACTTTATACCATTGCTATTAGAAATTGAAGTCAGGGGCTGGGAAGGTGGCTCAGTGGTAGAGCGCTTGCCTTGCATGCCTGAGGCCCTGGGTTCGATTTCTCAGCACCACATAAGCAAAAAGAAAAAAGCCGGAAGTGGCTCCAGTGGTAGAGCGCTGGCCTTGAGCTGAAGAGCTGAGGTACAGTGCCCAGGCCCAGAGTTCAGGCCCCACGACTGGACCCAAAAAAAATAATAATAAATAAAATAAAGCTAGCCTTAGATGTATAAGGTCTAGGAATTAATCCCAAGAATTAAAAGTAAAATCCATCTAAACATCTGGTCCCACATTTTTCATCTCCATGAGGTTATCATGAGAACATTTATTTAAACAAATCAAGTTAGACTGGTTGAGTATTCCTCTAAATTACTAGTGTTACTAATATTAACAAAATCGCAGCCATGTGCTGGTAGCTAACACCTGTAATCCTAACTACTTAGAGGGCTAAGATCTGAGGACGGTGGTTCGAAGCCACATGGTCAGGAAGGTCTATAAGACTCTACAAATAACCACCAAAAAGATAAAGTAGACCTGTGGCTCAATTGGTAGAACAACCAGCCTTCAGCAAAAAAGCTAAGGATGGGTTGATGGTCTGGCTCAGTTGGTAGAATACTAGTAAGTGACAACATCAAGTGCCAGGTTCAAGACCTTAGAAAAACTTAAATAAAGTAAAAGCATGAATGTAAGAAAAAGTACTCATTTTTCAGATTAGATAATGTAAATTGATCTTCAAGTTTATTAACTCAACATCTCTAAACGTTAAGTGCATCTGGCAGTTTTTGAAACCATACATCATATTTTTACTTCTAGAATTTCTAATCTTTTCTTGTTTTGTGTTTGTTTCTTTGTTTTGTTTTTAACCATGCTTTCCTATCCTCAGTGTTGAGGGTTTTGGTGTTAAGCAGACAGACATATAAATTTAAAAATCATGCCCCCAGGTGCCAGTGGCTAAAACCTATCATCCTGGCTGCTCAAGAGCTGAGATCCAAGATCAGTTTAAAGCTAGCCCAAGCAGAAAAGTCTGAGATACTATCTCTAATTAACTAGCACAAAGCTAGATGAGCTGAGTGATAAAACCTGAATTTAAGCCTTAGTTCACACAAAGATTAATAATTCACATGTACTGTATTAACCACCTGTATCACTTGGGGTCAGTTTTATTTATTCATTTTTATTATTGTTAGTTGTACTTTCAGTTCAATGTGTTAATTTATGATCAATGTCACCTATTCATTATTCTCTCCATCTCCTCCAATTATGTTCTGATTTTCATTTTGTTTACGGCCAGAGATATTGAGCATTTCTTTATGGGTTTATTGGTTATGCTTACTTCTGAGACTCCAATTTTAGCCACCAGAGCAAACAAAGTGGTGCTGTGGCTCAAAGTGGTTGAGCACTGGCCTTGAGCAAAATGGCTGAGACAGCACCCCAGCTCTGTTCAAGCTCCATGACCAACAAAAAGTAAATAAAAATAAACTACAAGAGGCTAGATGCATGCTTCAAGCAGTAGACTGCCAAGCAACCACAAAACCTTGATTTCAGGTTTTAGTAAAAACAACAAAAGAAACTTCCAAGAAAGTTAAATAAATGTAATAGCAAAAACTTTAGAAATGTTTCCAACATAGGGGCTGGGAAGGTGGCTCAGTGGTAGAGTGCTTACCTTGCATGCATGAGGCCCTGGGTTCGATTCTTCAGCACCACATAAGCAAAAAGAAAAAAGCTGGAAGTGGTGCTGTGGCTCAAGTGGTAGAGCACTAGCCTTGAGCTGAAGAGCTGAGGGACGGCGTCCAGGCCCAGAGTTCAGACCCCACGACCAGACCCAAAAAAAAAAAAAAAAGAAAGAAATGTTTCCAACATAACCAAAATTGAAGGTGTAAGACAATGACAAGGTACACAGTAAGCCAGGAGGCTATATAGAACACTAAGGAAATCACTAATGAGTTACAAGATAAGATGATCAATGTTGATGGTGCTTTAGTGTGCCTGTGTTGATGGGTGGGACAATGAGGTGTTCCAAAACTAGAACTTGAGTCATAGGTCATGGTTATCCAACTCTAGACACGTTCAAATAAGAGCTGAATTAATATTGTTTAAAAAAAACTTTTTATTGGGATAATCCAAAATAAATCTATAGAAAAATGTTTATCATTTTTATTTAGTTATTCCTTTGAAATCCTTGGACTCTCAAGTTGATGGGATTATAATTATATACCACCATTCTTGGCTTCATTGGAAATTTTTATTATTCTGCTAGATGTTAAGTCTCTACCCCACTCTTTAATTGTTGTGTATTATAATGTAATTATAATGGTAATATAACTAAAGAAAGTGGGCAATGGTAGGTAGAGATGTGGAATAGGTTGAAGAGGCAGTGATGGGATATTTGGTAGACTTCTGGAGTATTCTGAGTCAAAACAGGAAGAACAAGGAACATGAAGGCATAATCAGGGCAATTGTTTTCCCAAAATACAACAGAAAGGAATATATTCAGATAATTCCTGTTTCTCTGCTTCATAGCTAATTTAATTTAGGAATCAGGACTGCAAGGACATAAAACAGTCTTTGTTGGTCTAAGGGCACTGCCAAACAAGTCAATCTGCTTTACCTAATAATTTACATTCAT